TATGAAGGTGCTGTACATTTATTTGTTATATATTCCATGGTAATTGTACAATACTATGGTATTTTGTACATGCAACTTGCCCTAACATGCACTAACAATTCAGAAACTCAGAGCTTAAAGAAAAGTTCCCCACTTGTAAGTACAACTTTGTAGTGATATTTATGCTTTCAACTCGTAAATATGATCTTTCTGACACAATTTGAATGCACCATATGAGCCTGAACACATTTCCTCATGCTAAAGTGTTTACTTTAGCTTTTGTTTTTTATTTTAATGTTTGACATGACTTGCATGCTTCTTACCGCCTCCGCCAGCTATTGTTCCTTCATATCCAGGGACTGTATCGAACATGTTTGCAGGGGGTGCAGAAGGTCCATGGATGATTGTCGCAGGCGCGGCTGCCATGGCTGAATGAGATTCAAACAAACCGGTTAGGTAAGTTTTCCACTAGTTCGGCTCCAAGAAAGACATATAGTATCCATTCAAAAAATTCTGTTTCAAATATCACAAAAATGTCACTATACATTCAAACATTTTAATATATTTATTGCACAGCTTTTGAAATTGTGATAATGGATGGTCAGTCACAGCGTTAAAATACCTTAGTGAAAAATCCATACAGCCTATAAATAGCCAGTTATTATCAGTCCTCAGCTGCTTAGCCAAATAAGCTATTGAAAATGTTATTCGCCAAGCATTAATTAGGGACTTACATTTTAGATCTTGAAGAACTTATTCTTGTTGTTGGTAAGACTTCTAAAGTCAGGGGTGAGCAGTCAGCTAATGCCTATGGACTTAAGTCTAGTGTATTTATGGTTTAGTACAGTAAATGTACAGTAGCCTATAGTCTGAGAGCTGCTGCTATTGGATGGCGCTGAATGGACGATTGGGTGGAGTTGTTTCTACAATAAAACTGTGGTAACTTGGTATAAGTAACATTTTTTTGTAGATTTATTTAGAGAATTATGATTGAACAGTTGCAGTTCTGGTATGATCACAGTATTTTGAATTATAAAAACTACGTTTTTTTTTTTTTTTTTTTTACATTTACCACAGTACCGGAGTACCCTACTGTATATTTCGGAGAACCATATTTTTGTAAATACTGTATAGTAACGTTTTTGTAGCACAAGTACTTCATACTATACGAATTCTAATAGGCTATTAATATTAATAATATGAAAACTATGCACAAAGCGATACATTTACGTAAAAAATAGCGTTGTTTTAGGTAATATTTCTAATATAGCTGTCGTCCTGTGGAAATCTGAGATTGTGTAGATTTCACAACAAACTCTTACCTGGTGCTGGTAATCCATAAACCGGGTTAATGGTGCCGTAGTTAGAGCCATAGTCACTTCAGAGGAAGTTGAATGAAGTCAGGTTGAGCATTTTTGGGAACACAAACAATGTAAATATCGATTATTAAGATTTTTTTAAATCTTACCTCACAATCGGTCTCTCCATTTTGCAAACGCGATGAGAAGTAAAAGTAAGTACCCGAAATGTTCAGCAGCTTCCTTGTGCTGTAATCATCATGTGATTGTGTTTCGTTACGTTGTTTCCTTCTTAAGTGCGAAGGAGGTCAACAATAGGCCATTGCTCAGTCTACACAGGCGTCCATTGTATATAAAGAGTAATAAACCTCGTTGCAGTTTCAGTTTAGTTCATTATGTTTGTGTGGGGTTCATTTCGGAGCCGTGGCTTGAGTGACATGTTGATTACAAAAATATATGAACTATGAGGAAAACCTATTTGCGTTCCCCAGAGAAACTATGCAAAACTCGCAAATCTTGAGCGAACGCAACGCTTCTCTGGGGAACGCAAAAAAGCCCTTTCGGGGCTCCGTAGTTTCACACTGACTCTGGTGAAAATGAGGAGTCCAGTGTTGCCAACTAAGTTTCAGGGGACGTTGCTAAAGGAAGTTCGATTTGTTGCTAAAAGTTGCTAGATGACGTTGTGATGTCATTGCGTGATGACGTCATTACGTAATCACGACGCAAAATTGTGTCACTACATTAAAAAATTAATACATGTTAATTTAGATTTGTTCGTAAAATAATATAGATGCATAATATAATGCTCAAATATAAATAACTTTTTTTATATACAACATTGAATTATTGAACACTTACACATTTTTGAACGATTACAAGTTTTTTTCATTAGCTAGTAAACTAGTAAAACTACACATTCTGAACAATTATAGTTTTAAGCAGTGTATTAGTAGTCAGTATGCTACACTCTAAGAAAATAAATCACAGGTTTTTACCTGCATTTTAAATTACGCATTGTTTCGGGTTACAACGGATGATGGATAACGGATAATGTCCTGGAAAATTACTAGTTTTTCCATTTTTGTAGATATTTTTCTTACAGTGTACTAACTGATCAACAATCACAGGTACAAGCTACTAACGAGGTGTATCATAAATGAACAATTATTAAATTATTATTATTATTATCAAATTGAACAATTGCAAATAGCAGTAACTTAATTCACGTGATGCGTGTACTGCTAGGCATCTTTGGTTTCCTCTTTTTGTGAAATTTAGATGGAAAATGTGTGCCTTTTTATTGTTTGAGCCACTTATCAAAAGTTGCTAAAAGTAGCCAAATAAAAAAAAAATAGCTACATTTGTTGCTAGGTGCTTTTGGAAGAAAAAGTTGCTAGGGTAGTCTGAAAAGTTGCTAAATTTAGCAACAAAATTGCTAAGTTGGCAACACTGGAGGAGTCAGACTTTAGGTGAGGAGTCGCAACTTTAAACATATAAGCCGTCTGTGGTGGCACCATGATACAGTGATGATGGTAAATCCAGGGTACTCTAAATACTAACCGGGGCTAGTTGTCACACCTTTTACACTTGTTCATTCATCAGACGCGTTCATCCAAGCAACACCAAGTCAGTCATTCTTGAGAAGTGGGACAAAACAGGGAGCAAAATTGAAAAAATAAAACCTTGTACTCAGACAAATGAAACTACATTTATGTATCTTATATGTACTAAGCTACTGAGCTATGCTTTGATACAACCTCCCAATTTTTCTCTTTTTTTTAACAAAATGTGCTTTTTTTTACCTTGGACTGTGTAATATAATTTCAACTTTATCTTTAACAGCATTCAAGATGTTTTTAACATTTCAAAACACATTCTGGTGTTAGCAGACAGATTACACTTTCACATGTGACCAACAATTCCACAACAAATATAAAATATCATAATGAAATATTATCAAAATATTCAACTGATGGAGTTGACACCTGAATTTGTAGTAATTTTAACTATCAAATACATTGAATCAGTCAATTACTGTATTACAACAAACACAACAAACAGTGAGTATGTTATTGTTTATAAAGCTTTTATTCAAGAGTCACATTTAAGTATTTTGATATATCATTTGAACACAAAATCTGGTGACATCTGACAGTGTTGACAAATTTGTCTTTCACAAAACCAATGGAGTTCATGTAGTAGCCGTTTTATTAGTTTCTGTTGATGCTAGATGCTAATGGAACCTGCTTCAGGAGAATAAAATGATCTTAATATTTCAAATAATTTCCTCAGAAATTGGAAGATGATGTTGATATATCATGGCTGTGACAAAGGAAATATTAACATTAGCATTTAAAATATTCTAAAACTATGAAACTTAGCAAAACCTGTCTGACACTGATGTACTGTGCAGAGGTGAACTGTGGCAAGGGGGTCCTTTAGAGTGACAGCTGCCCCTGATTTTATTACATTTTATTGAATGTCTGACGGTGTTGACAAAAAGTGGGGAACACAACTTTAAAATCTTATTAAACATGCATGTGTCACTAAAAAAAACAACCTTGCTTTGATAGGAGATATTACTAAGTGTTGCTTTTGATAAAACAAGCTCTTTTCATCATTAAAAAACAATTTTATCCATTTTATTGCATATGAATGATTGAACCCTTCTCTGTGGACACACTGTTTTAGATGTAGTGAGAGGACATTAAGAAACACAGATTTGGTATAATAATGAGAAAATTAAATTGAAGGTGATAATTGTGTTAAATACATTCTATTATTAATCCCTCATGACATTTAAAATAGAAAATATTTGTATTTTGTTACGCTAATAGCAGTTACCATTGCTGGACCTGTTTTGTCCCACGTCTCAAGAATGACTATTTATTTAGAAAGTGATTTTCGGTATTCAGAGATTCACGTGTTTATCCTTGAATAGAAATGAAGGTAAACAGGAGGACGGTTTTGGATATTTTTGCATTATTTCTCAGTATGGCATATGTCACAATGTGAACCTGTTTATCAGCTTTTGCCTACATTTAAACAATACATTTATTATGAAACAATAATTCATGAAATAGCAAAAATGGAAAAAGGTAACAAATATAATAGGGGGCGATTAACAATAAGGCCCCATCAGTTCATGTTAGTTAATACATTAAGTAACAATGAGCAATACAGTACCTTTGTTATGTTATATACAGTATTTTACATTTTATTTGTGCATTGACCCAGAAAATGTTTTTATGATAATGAAAATAGTTGGTATAGTATAGTATAGTTTGTAAAATATAACAAAGATCATTTATTAATTGGACGTTTGACTGAGATACAGTACTAAATTGTGACAACTAGCCCCAGTCTCCCCTCCATAATATTGTACGATTGCCATATTAAAAGTACCATGGTATTTAAACATCCAAATCAAAATATGGTTCTGTCAGTAGTTATTATGGTACTTTATTGTTAGTGTGGTGTCTCTCCTGTGGTTCAGGCAGTCTGTATCTCAGTAGCAGGCCGCTACAGTCCATCTGTCTCATCTGTGAGCAGCCAATACACACACTTGCACTCCAACGGTGTTATTAGCCCTACCCACTATATTTAACTGGATGTATTATTATTAAGTCATACCCAGATTTTCATGACGTTATATTGAGGAGGGTGAAATGAGATCAGCCGTGTTTCTCCAAAACCCTCATATCTGAGTTAAGTTGCAGGATTTCCCACAGAGAATGAACAAAGAGCTCTTCCAGGATGAAGAGAGAGGCTAGAGAAGGAAGATAAGAGAGAAATAGACCCGAAGCAAGACTAGGCTGAGGATCTGTGTGGTACTGGAGAGAGGAGAAGGAAAGAGGAGCCATGTGGCACGTTAGTTGTTCTTTAAACCCTAAAGTGCTTCCGGATGGGGTCCCTGCACGGACGACCATGAAGAAAGGACTGGCTGGAGGAGTCAAAGGGAAGAGGAAGATGTTCTCGTTTTCTTTACGATGTCGGATTGGAGTTATCAGAGGAAGGGTTAAAGGTAAGACATGAGAGAATGTGCGTAAGGTTTGTGTGTGGCGATGTTTGTACAGGTTAAGGGTGAATTGTATGTGTAGGTGCTGTGTACTTCATGAGCAGTCTGCTGAAGTTGTTATGTGTGTAGTTTAAAAAAAAAATTTTTCAATGTTTTTCTTGACTGTGGGTCTGAGAAATGAATGCAAGATCTGTTGTCCTATATCAGCTGAAGTGACCTGCAAAACAGTGTTCTGCCACATGGAGGCTGTATTGTTTAAAATTACTTTTAATAATCTGCAGTCTTTTACAGTGAACCCAAAGTATTTGGACCATATTCATTTCACCTCATTAGATTACAAATCATCAGTTATTTAGGATTTTTATTAATCATTTCACACCTTATGAACTTCTTTTTGTGAATAATTTAGCTTGAAATGTGCTGTTTCTTAATAAATACATCATGTGTAAACTACCAGTCATAATTGTTAAATAATAAAGTTTTTTTTAAAAATGTCTTTAGTGTCTTTTGCTCTCCAAGGCTGCATTTATTTGTTCAAAAATACAGTAAAACAGTAATATTGTGAAATATAAATCTTATTATTTAAAAAGACTTTTTTATTTATAGCAAATCAGCATATTAGAATGATTTCTGAAGGATCATGAGACACTGAAGACTGGAGTAATGATGCTGAAAATTGCCGTTATTAGACTGTCAGTGTGGCGTATTGACTGTATTGTATGTGTTGTTGAGGAGAAGTTTTTTTTTCAATGTTACAGTATAGAGAAGAATGCGTAGTATGTGTTGATGGGTGAGACAGGTGTTTGTCTCGGACACATGCAGCTGTCAAGACAAATGTTTAGTAGTGGATGGAATATCCCCGCCAACCCCCAAAAATGACATTTGAGAGCAGATTGGCATTTGGTTTATCCCTTTAATGGCAAGGAAAGTGTATGGCTTTTATTCTGTGTATAATATAAAGCCAGTTTTAACAAGATAACAACATCAGGAATAGGATGCATATACTTAATTTTAAAATGCACAAAATGCAATGTATGTAAGGGATAATGTTCTCATTATCACTAAATCAAATCTGACAAGGTGGATCAGGATCTTTCAGTTGTTATATTGTAGTAGCAAGCACAGCTATTGCAGACATACACTGTATGTCAGTTAAGTATGACAACAACTAATTATACAAATTAGGAGTCATTATATAAAATTATTTAATGTCAGAATAGCATTGACCAATCAGAATAAAGCATTCCAGAGAGAAGCGTGTATCATAGTACTAAAATCCACGTACCATGGTATTTATACCATTAGAAGAAAGTACAGTTGTGGCACCATGGTACAGTGATGGTATCAGAAGGTAAAAATATAGAACTTTGAAATACACTATGGAACTGAAATAACTAACTTGAACTTAAATAACTATTTAAACATGTATGAATAAATGAAACTTGAAATAACTATTTAACCATGTATGAGAGCATGTGTGATAGCAATACCATGATTTTTGATACGTATCATGGTGTTGCCATAGTATTAGTTGAAATACCACAGAGTACCAAATATATACTATGGTACCACACATGAATATGTCATATACGGTACATCAAATATTCTATGCGTCATATAGATGATCTTATAGATCAGTACCATGATATTACCATCTGGTGCGTAATTTTAAAAAAAATGTTTGATGATTCGTGATTTGACCACAATGGTAATAAATCTACATTTACCATGGTAAAATGTTGCAAGGGCTGTTTCACACTAGATGCTTGGCTGTTAAATGTCTCTTTTGCTTACCAAGGCTGCATTTATTTGATCAAACATACAGTAAAAATAGTAATATTGGGAAATATTATTACAATTTAAAATAGATGTTTTCCATTTGAATATATTTGAAATTGAAATTTATTCCTATGATGCAAAGCTGAATTTTCAGCATCATTACTCCAGTCTTCAGTGTCACATGATCCTTCAAGAAACATTTCTGTTTATTATCAGTGTTGAAAACAATTGTGCTACTTAATATTTTTGTGGAATCTGTGATACTTTTTTCAGGGTTCTTTAAATACATTTACCATGGTATAATGTTGCAAAGGCTGTTTCACGCTGGATGCTCGGCTGCCAAATGAAGAGAAACGGGGCACGTGAGAGGAAGACAGACAGGGAGGAGGAAGTGTTTGTGCGTGAGGCACGTGGGGGCTGAGAGAGTAGTGAGGGGTTTGGCTCTGTTTGTGTTTAATATTTGTGTCTATATTAGCTTGCCGGTAGAAAGATTCTCTCGGGCACAGAGTGCAGGACTGTATGTGTGTGTGTGTGAACGAACATGATTAATAGGCCAGAGCAGGAAAGAAGAGCACATGTGAACAGCGAGAAGCTGAAGAAGTGAGGGAGGAGGAGTGGCAGAAAGGAGGGTGGAGAGGAGAGAAGGAGCGAGTGTGTGTTCTGTCCGGGTCTGATCTCTGTGAAGCACTGGAGCGTTCAAATACATTCCCATACTGCAGCACTGTCGTCTCTGGATAAACTACCATCTGCTTCGGCTCACGCTGCAAACCCAGAACTGAATCTGTGCGAGCGGATCACATGTGTTTTACAGATGACTGACTGGAGACTAGTTGCATGTGCGGAGGAGACCACGTTATGCTGTTTGGAAAGAGCAAACTGGAGTGACACTGGAATGTCTCAGGAATAATCCAGTTGCAGCTATGCAACACTTTTTCAGTCGCTCAGTCATGCATTACACTCTTACAGTCGCTCACGTGGACCTGCAGTAGAGATATATTTAATCTGCACATGTTTATGGAAGAGCTGGAATTCTGTATGATTTGCCTGTATGGATTGAACATCATCTGTGCAACAGGATCAGCTATAGATAAAACTGTGAGGTCGCTGAATGGATTCATCTAGTCTGCTTTTCTTCTTCAGGACCATCATTTCATTGCTTTTCTCAAAGGAATCCTAACTGAAGTTGCATATGTAATGTGGCTTAATTGGTTGGATAGGTTAAGATGGTAATTTTCAGGTGTGCGCTTTAACAAACAGTTTGGTCAATTTAGTTAGATCCTAAAATGTTGTGTGGAATCGTGATATTCCCATGATGCTGTGTGGTTTGAGGAGAGAGGGTCGCAACAACAGCGGTGAGTCACGTTGATCATTTTTCCACATTCGGTGCATTCTTTTTCACTTCTTCTGTCATACACATTGGGGTTGGTAAGATTTTTTAAATGTTTTTGCTCACCAAGGCTGCATTTATTTGATCAAAAATACAGTAAAAACAGTAATATTATTACAATTTTAAATAATTGTTTTAAAATGTAATTTATTCCTTTGATGTCAAAGCTGAATTTTCAGCATCATTATTTTAGTCTTCATGATCCTTCAGAAATCATTCTAATATGCTGATTTGCTGCTCAAGAAAAGTTCTTATTATTATCAATGTTGAAAATGTTGTGCTGCTTCATATTTTTGTGGAAACTGATACACTTTTTCTTTTTAGGATCCTTTGATTATTATGAAGTTCAAAATCTTAGCATTTATTTGAAATAGAAACCATTTGTAACATCTTTACTGTCATCTTTACACGTCAATATAATGCATCCTTGGTGAATTAAAGTATATATCTGTAGAATTCATTTTTTCATATCTCTAGCTTGCCCGTGTTTTCTAGGTATCAAAATTACCCTTTCAAAAACTACTGCTGGTATTATGGTGCAATATGGTATCAGTTGGTATTTTGATGGTATTTTGATATTTTACCATGGATCCGAATGATTATCATATGCATATGCAATGGTATTTAAATGATATTCTAACATATATATACAGTGGTGTGAAAAAGTGTTGGCCCCCTTCCTGATTTCTTATTTTTTGCATGTTTGTCACACTTTAATGTTTTAGATCATCAAACTAATTTAAATATTAGTAAAAGGGTAAAATCAGGGTAGTAAAATCACATGGCCCGGGACGACAACCTGTTCAACAGCACATTCTCCGTTTTAAAGAAAATGACAAATATAATAAATTTTTTGCTGTATATAAAACAGAGCCCTAACCATAAGGATTTGATTAACTTGAACTGTACAAGACAAAACATTTTGAACCTAAAAGTATGCAAATATAAATGTACCAAACATAATATTGTTTTGGAAGAATATATATATGCAGTTGTGTGAAAAAGCATCTTTGACTAATATTTAAATTAGTTTGATGATCTGAAACATTAAAGTGTGACAAACATGTAAAAAAATAAGAAATCAGGAAGGGGGCCAACACTTTTTCACACCACTGCATATATATATTCTTCCAAAACAATATTATGTTTGGTACATTTATATTTGCATACTTTTAGGTTCAAAATGTTTTGTCTTGTACAGTTCAAGTTAATCAAATCCTTACGGTTAGGGCTCTGTTTTATATACAGCAAAAAATTAATTATATTTGTCATTTTCTTTAAAACGGAGAATGTGCTGTTGAACAGGTTGTCGTCCCGGGCCATGTGACAAATAGGGTCCACTGTGTTCCTCTTTGAAACTGTCTACCTATTTGGACAGGGTAAAGAAGGCCCACCCGTAACATTTGTCCTGGGCTGTGTGGTTTTTAGCTCTAGCCCTGCTGGTAAATGGAAAAGCCTGTTGAGAGCTGAGCGAAGGGTGACAACTGGGGCCACTGTGGCCTCTATAAATAAAAGCCCAGCTCTGAAAATAGGCCCTGAGCTTCCAGTTGCATTGTTAGAACATCATCCGTTTAACCTACATCAGGATTGGTGTCAACATAACCAGGGCTGTCGGTGTGCTTTGCTCCAAATTGGTTTCAGAGTTTTAATAGACTTGGAAAATGAGTTATCATGACCCATAATGACAGTTTTACTCTGCTGTGATGACTTTCAGAGACGCTGCTGTGTGTGAGTGTGTTATATAACACTTGCTCACTACTCATAGATGTGCGGTTTGTTGACTGTTAAAGCACTGGTGTGATGTTTTGAGCCTTTGACCTCTTAAACAAACAGTCTGAGTGATGTTGGTTTGTTTAGCCTGTTGGCCTAAAGGGCAGCTGAACCATCTTTACTGACCAAAAGGAGATTTTGGACAAAAATATAAAGAAGCACATCATCTGTTTTCAACACTGGTGCAACTCAAATGATGCCTGAGCAGCAAATCAGCATATCAGAAGTATTTCTGAAGATCATGTGACACTGAAGACTGGAGTAATGATGCTGAAAATTCAGCTTTTCATTACAGGAATAAATTACATTCTAATATGTGACCCTGGACCACAAAACCAGTCATATATGTTGTATGGTTTGTTAGGATAGGACAATATTTGGCCGAGATACAACTGTTTGAAAATCTGGAATCTGAGGGTGCAAAAAATCAAAATCAAAATATTGAGAAAATCGCCTTTAAAGTTGTCCAAATGAAGTTCTTAGCAATACATATTACTAATCAAAAATTAAGTTTTAATATATTTACTGTAGGAAGTTTACAAAATATCTTCATGGAACATGATCTTTACTTAATATCCTAATGATTTTTGGCATTAAAAAAATCTATAATTTTTTTTATTGTGTTTTTAATCAATGCAGACTTATTTCAAAATATTAAGTAAGGGATAATGTACATCCAGCCGGTTGTTATCGCAGAATAACCCCCGACAGGGTGATCAGGAACCCGGCTTACATGGCAAGTAGCCGTGTAAGCCGCTTATTACACAGATACTTGCCACATAAGTAAATAATTAAACACGAAATATTGATTTGAGTTGAAATATTTGAACGCAAAGCTTCCGTGAAGAAAACAGTTGCGAGCAAGCGGCAAGTTCAAACTAGACGGACATTTAAGGGATACAACATTTCACCACATAAATAATTATGGCGATAAAAGATTTAAGACGAAAAGTCTTAAAGTTAAGTTAGTTATCTTATAATCCATTACAGCGTACAAAACAATCGTAGCAAAATGGCAGCAGCTGCATTTGCATGAAACGAGAGAGCGAGTACAAATAATTGTACACAAATTTTGAGTTTTAATATTTTATTAGCTAAACAAACGCAAAGCATCCACCAAGAAAAAACAGTTCCTAGCAAGAGTACAGCGCTATTTCAAAATATTAAGTAAGGGATAATGTACATCCAGCCGGTTGTTATCGCAGAATAACCCCCGACAGGGTGATCAGGAACCCGGCTTACATGGCAAGTAGCCGTGTAAGCCGCTTATTACACAGATACTTGCCACATAAGTAAATAATTAAACACGAAATATTGATTTGAGTTGAAATATTTGAACGCAAAGCTTCCGTGAAGAAAACAGTTGCGAGCAAGCGGCAAGTTCAAACTAGACGGACATTTAAGGGATACAACATTTCACCACATAAATAATTATGGCGATAAAAGATTTAAGACGAAAAGTCTTAAAGTTAAGTTAGTTATCTTATAATCCATTACAGCGTACAAAACAATCGTAGCAAAATGGCAGCAGCTGCATTTGCATGAAACGAGAGAGCGAGTCCGCGATGACATAATTAAATAATTGTACACAAATTTTGAGTTTTAATATTTTATTAGCTAAACAAACGCAAAGCATCCACCAAGAAAAAACAGTTCCTAGCAAGAGTACAGCGCCGACTTCAGTTACCCGGATAAGCCTGTGTTATTAGTTTTTCCCGGTTGTTATCGAGGGATAACTTACCTCGGAATGTCGCGACTGACCAATCAGAATCAAGTATTCCACAGAGCTGTGTAATAAAAAGTCTTACCAACCCCAAACTTTTGAACGGAATGAATAGTTCAAATTTTTAAGGTTAACAAACAATGAAGAGAACAACTGAGGCATATATTATTAGATATGCAGGTTGTGTACCTTCCTGGTTAAAGATCTGGATGGGAAACTGAAAGGATGTGAAGTTCAGAACCACCAAGTGACGAGCCTTGAGCTTTCAACATCATTCTTAAGTTGCTCCATTGGGACTGTTGTAGTATCAGAAAGTTGCTTAAAGTGAAAATGTATTTGTAACCTATACTTCCGTAAAGTGTCTTTCCAAATTAAACTGGATATTCAATAATAACATAGGAGAGGACTTAAATTTAGTTTTAAATTTTTGAGTGAATAAATGAATAAATTCCTGTTGTGTAAAATTCAGATTTATATATTTAAATTGCATATAACATTTTCATCCATTAGGCCTACACAGTTTTAACATAAACTAATAAACTTAATGTAATGCATATTTGTCAGTCATACATAAACAAAATGGGTATGATTATGCAATCAAAAAATCATTATTACCTATTTGCATTTTTTTACTTGATTTAAATAATCATATTTTCAGAATGCATTTATTCAAATTCCTTAGAATCAGCATAAATCTGTTCATTTGAATTAACATTAAATGTATTTATTTAAAATATATGAACCTGGTAAAAATATGGCTATGTGTGGTTGTTCCTATATAAAAATCAGTTAAAATATATGAGATTGAAGCCTACTGGATTTATTGATGATAAATATATTAATCTGGTTATTGTCTATTTAAAAATTTTTTTAATAGTACCATTACAGAAGTCTTACCTGTTTCCTAACTGTTTAATTTATGTATGACTGATAGATCAAATTAAATGTATTAACTTGTTTCTGTTAATGTTTAATTGTTGTATCATAAAAATGTGTTGCATGCCAGAATTCCATATGTTTACATATAATTTTTTCTTGTTGAATACCCTGGTTCACTCAAAAATAAGTCATTATGAAAGTAAAGAGCTTGCGAACGCTGTTTCTTGTTGACTTGAGCTTGAATTCAATTCTAAATGTTATCAAAAGCAATCAGTCCAAGCCTGTAAAACTGCCTTTGTAACGTATTATCATAATTTATTTGATAATTTCATGTTTCAGAAGATGCCCCATACACGAAGGGAAGCAAAGATGTTGCAAGTGACAGCAGCAGCCTCAACAAGAGGAGCAGCATAGCTGGTAAGTGGGCATGTAATCCAACAGAACTGAAACCTGCAGATAACTGCTGTCCAAGGAATAGTTCACCCACAAATGAACATTTGCTGAACATTTACTCACCCTCAGGCCATCCAAGATGTAGATGAGTTTGCTTCTTACTAGAAACAGATTTGGGAAAATGTTGCATTACTTGCTCACCAATGGATCCTCTGCAGAGTGGTGTGGATTATTGTGATGTTTTTATCAGCTGTTTGGACTCTCATTCTGACGGCACCCATTCACAGCAGAGGATTGCAAATGGTGTCATGCAAAAATTCTCCAAATCTGTTCTAATGAAGAAACAAACTCGGCTACATCCTGAATGGCCTGAGAAATTTGTAACAAGTTTTGGTTTTTGTGTGAACGATTCCTTTAATGCTCCACATGACACAGCTATACTGCATCAGAGGTGTTTTGCTCTATACTGAGTCTCTTTATAAGGAGTTCTGCCAGTCTCAGCACTCATACAGTGTCTTGTATCTTAAGGTAAAGAGACTGTTCATCTGTGATGAGGCTGATATTTGATTTCTTCGTACCGCTGCTAGAAACCCTCAGTCGCTCTCTCTGTTCTTTTCTTTTTATCCGTTGGGCTTGTGAAGAATCATGTCAGCTCTAGTGATTTACCACACTGACACTCACCATCAGATGCTGTCGAGATTTAACAGCAGTAATGAGCACATCTTTTAGATTGCAACTGCTGCATCATAAAAGCTTATCACATAAATTGTCTTCAACATTTGATCATACTGAAAAGAATATTCTCCTTAATGGTGTCCTCATAACCATTATGAGTGGAAAATAGAAATAAATCTAAATAAAATAGTGCATTTTATTTTATAATAAAAAGTTAACAAATAATACATATCAAAGAGAGCAATTAGATTCTACATCCAAAATATCTTCTCGTTAATGGTGTAAGAAAAAGTGAAGACGTCGAAGATCTTGATGAAGAATAACTTTTATTACAGAATAGTAGTGACAAAGTACATGTAGTACCTTGGGTTCAACGGAGTCAGACTGAACCCCGAACATCCTAAGCTCAAACATTTTATACACTTAGAGTTTACCCTCAATGTAAAGGAAGTTGTTCTTGTTGTTACAGCTGTGGTCTGTATGCTAATTAAGTTCTGACACCCCTTTTGTCTGAGGTGGTTCTCAGTGTCCCACACCTGCTCCCATTCTACAATTGGTCACCATTTGCTCAGGATGTGATCATCCCAAGTGATAAGTGACAGCAGCAGCCTCAACAAGAGGAGCAGCATAGCTGGTAAGTGGGCATGTAATCCAACAGAACTGAAACCTGCAGATAACTGCTGTCCAAGGAATAGTTCACCCACAAATGAACATTTGCTGAACATTTACTCACCCTCAGGCCATCCAAGATGTAGATGAGTTTGCTTCTTACTAGAAACAGATTTGGGAAAATGTTGCATTACTTGCTCACCAATGGATCCTCTGCAGAGTGGTGTGGATTATTGTGATGTTTTTATCAGCTGTTTGGACTCTCATTCTGACGGCACCCATTCACAGCAGAGGATTGCAAATGGTGTCATGCAAAAATTCTCCAAATCTGTTCTAATGAAGAAACAAACTCGGCTACATCCTGAATGGCCTGAGAAATTTGTAACAAGTTTTGGTTTTTGTGTGAACGATTCCTTTAATGCTCCACATGACACAGCTATACTGCATCAGAGGTGTTTTGCTCTATACTGAGTCTCTTTATAAGGAGTTCTGCCAGTCTCAGCACTCATACAGTGTCTTGTACCTTAAGGTAAAGAGACTGTTCATCTGTGATGAGGCTGATATTTGATTTCTTCGTACCGCTGCTAGAAACCCTCAGTCGCTCTCTCTGTTCTTTTCTTTTTATCCGTTGGGCTTGTGAAGAATCATGTCAGCTCTAGTGATTTACCACACTGACACTCACCATCAGATGCTGTCGAGATTTAACAGCAGTAATGAGCACATCTTTTAGATTGCAACTGCTGCATCATAAAAGCTTATCACATAAATTGTCTTCAACATTTGATCATACTGAAAAGAATATTCTCCTTAATGGTGTCCTCATAACCATTATGAGTGGAAAATAGAAATAAATCTAAATAAAATAGTGCATTTTATTTTATAATAAAAAGTTAACAAATAATACATATCAAAGAGAGCAATTAGATTCTACATCCAAAATATCTTCTCGTTAATGGTGTAAGAAAAAGTGAAGACGTCGAAGATCTTGATGAAGAATAACTTTTATTACAGAATAGTAGTGACAAAGTACATGTAGTACCTTGGGTTCAACGGAGTCAGACTGAACCCCGAACATCCTAAGCTCAAACATTTTATACACTTAGAGTTTACCCTCAATGTAAAGGAAGTTGTTCTTGTTGTTACAGCTGTGGTCTGTATGCTAATTAAGTTCTGACACCCCTTTTGTCTGAGGTGGTTCTCAGTGTCCCACACCTGCTCCCATTCTACAATTGGTCACCATTTGCTCAGGATGTGATCATCCCAAGTGATCTACAAACAACATAACTGTTGACTTTCTTCTTCTCTATAATAATTAAGCCATTTTGGGAAATGAGCATGATCAAACATATCGTGGAGTGGAAACTGGGTCAGGGCAGACTATAGATTCTTACAATGGTGTCCTCATAAACGTCATGAGTGGATTTTTTTTTGCCTTTATTTGGATAGGACAATATGGAGGGGGGGGGGGGGGGGATCAGGAAAGGTCTGCAAGCCAGGATTTGAACTTGGGACGCCCGAAGTGCAACGACGCTGTATGACATGAGTGGAAATTTATGGAATACAAAATATTTTTATTTTTATTATATTATATACAGTATTTGTGGTCATTTAAAAAAAGTGTGTATGATATATTGTGTTGTTTGTGACAAATAAATAAATGTCAACCATTTATGTTTATGAAATAATCATTTTTATCAATAAAGCAACACACTGTCATTCAAAATTATGGGGACAATAAGTATGCTTTAAAAAAATAAATAAATACAGATTGTATTCAGCAAGGATGTTAAATTGATCAAAAGTGACAGTAGAACTTTGAAAAATCACAGAAAAAAAACTTTCACAGTTTCCACAAAAATATTAAGCAGCACAACTGTTTTCAACATTGATGGTAATAAGAAATGTTTTTTGAGCAACAAATCAGCATATTAGAATGATTTCTAAAGGATCATGTGATGAGTAATGAGGATGAAACATATATAATAATATTCCACAATATTTTTGATCAATAAATGCAGCCTTGGTAAACAGAAGAGATTACTTAAAAAACAAATATATATATATAAAAAAATGTTTTTTTTACATTACTTGGACATGACCTGTGAAAATCAGGTTTGTTTCCATAATGTATAAATATGTTTATTACACACAGTCTGCCATATTACCAGACTGCAGTACTACTTCATGAAATGGTTAAATGAATCTGACTTCCATGTCACAATGCATGGCTACACAAGCTCCCTGGGGACCGACGGGTGAGTTACCTGCTGTGAAGGTCCGTGTGCTGGTGCTTGTGTGGTTATTGTGTGTGTTTGTTTACGCACAGATGAGCAGAGAGGTGTGACCACGGTGGAACTGATTAAAAAAGAGGGCACCAGTCTCGGCCTCACGATCTCCGGAGGTTGTGACAAGGACGGCAAGCCAAGAGTGTCAAACCTGAGACCAGGAGGTCTCGCGATCCGGTGAGAAACAGACGAGAGAGACACACACGCATGCTGATCAGTATCCACTTTGTGGAATTCTCAGCTTTGTCTTGGTTCTCCTAAAAATCAAATAGCTTATCATTTATCTATTATGGTAATATTAGATGTTATGTTTTGTTTGTTTGTGTTACAGTATGTGTGGGTTTTATGTATTATCTTGTTTCGTAGTGTACAACACTTTGGTCAGTTTTTGCTGTTTTAATTGGTGCTTTATAAATAAACTAAAAACTACAACTAGTATAGAGCAGATTTTGGTAAATCTGAGCACAGTTTGAGACATTGTTGAGAGAGATCTCTGAGAGATTATTAGGTTGTTTTTCCCTGGAGGAAAGTCTTGAGAAGCAGAAAATATAAGGTAAACATGTTTCTCTTTGTACTTTCTATTAAAATATTTCTGGTCACAACTTCTGGTCGTGAAAATAACCTCTGGTCTTTTCTTTTCCTCTGATATCATGAAAACCTCTTATTTTTGAACCCTTCTCCGCATTGACATTTATCACCATTCAATTAACTTCCACTGGATTACTGTATATCAAATCCAGCCCATTGTTTTCCACTGAAATATCCCATTTCACCCAGAAAGGAAAGTGGGTTGCAAACACAGTGTATTTTGTGTGTGGGGTTGTTGTAGTTAATGATAACCATAAAAAAATAAAAAATGTATTAAAAATGGTAACTTAACTTAAAACTTCATATGTTAAAATACATTTATTTTAAAATAAAATACAAAAAAGCACACATTTGTTTTTGTGCCACATGCTAATGGTTTCACTTTAAATAAATTTGTGTATGAGTGCCATTTATGATGAGTGTTATATTTCTAATGAATACCAATATAATTTGTCTGTTTTATGCTAATATTTTTTATACCTGTTTACCGGTAAATTTAAAGGATTTGTTATGGAATGAGAGGAACTAAAATACATGTTTTATAGTAACGTATATAATGTATAGCTGTTCCTTTTACTATATTTTACATTATTTCTGAATATAATAATCTATTGTCATCATACACCGAAGTGTTTCTCTCAACAATGCAATTCTTATCTGGTGGGGGCTTTCAGACAATAAGATAATAAAAATGACAAAATGAAATTGATGGACTGAAAAACTTCAAATGAAAATGAAAAATATAAAAAAACTAAAAACATTTAAAATATTCATAAAAACTCCAATAGTATTTCATCAGTACTAAAATAACACTAGTGTAGTGTGTGCAACTTATTTTTAAGGAAAATATGTAATAAAATGACAAATGTCCTAAAATTTTTATGAAAATGGAGAAATAAAAACTCATTCAAAATATTAATAAAATCTATTATAGTATGTCAGTAATACTAAAATAACACTTGTGTGCGACTTATTTTCCAGAAAATATGGTAATAAAAACGATAACAAAATTACAAAAACTTAAACTAAAATGAAAAACTATAATAGTATTTCAGTGATGCTAAAATAGCACTGGTGTAGTGTGTGCGGTGCACCATGTTTACTCTCACAGCTCTTTAACCTCAGGATCTGGGCTGCTCCTGTGTGTGTGTGTGTGTGTGTGTGTGTGTGACCTCAGGATGTGGGCTGCTCCATCACATCAGCCTCTAGTGTGACAGACTGACGCAGGCCTAACGTGACCGCTCTCTCTCTGTCACACACACACACAGGAGGAAGATTTTAGTTGAATAGTTGTGCTGACCTGTAGGCAACGCAGGATTGATGTGCATGTTACTGAAGGCAGAGCTGCAAACGTTTGTTTTGCAGCCAGGTGCTTTAAACTTATGACCTTGCATTTAAGTTCACAGCTAATGTTTTTTTTTTTTTCAGCTTCCGAAGCTCTAGTGCAGACGTGCTAGTTTGTAATTATTATGTGTGTTAATGCTGTTTAACTCCACTGCATAATTATGCAGAATCACAAAATGATGTGTTTGGGTGTTTCGTTTTGCCTTTGGTTGTGTGATCATTTGTAAATGAACTACTTTTGTGTGTCGTCATTGTGTCGGTTCCGAGCGTGTGCCGCTGTCTAAGTTAATGCGATGCTTACAGGCAAAATCCTAGCGCTGGGTGACAGCAGCGGCTTAAATTAGCTTCTACAACAGTACATGAGGAGTCAGCTCTGCTAACGTCACACATATATACACTCACACACCGCATGTACCTGCTGCACAACACAAACATGCACCTTTCTGCAGCAGATGCAGTATGTTGATGATTGTGGAGTCTTCATATCAGTGCAGCCATTATATTTGGAAGTAATCTTGTTCTTAGGATTTAGGTCATTACCAATAATAGATTTTCATACATTACAGTTCAGTTTTGTGGTTGGTAAGATTTTTAAAAAAGTTTTTGAATGATTTATTCATTTATTTGTTCAAAAATACAGTAAAAACAGTAATATTGTGAAATATTATTACAATTTTAAATAACTGTTTTCTATTTGAATAGATTTTAAAATGTCATTTATTACTGTGGCGCAAAGCTGAATTTTCAGCATCATTACTCCAGTCTTCAGTGTCACATGATCCTTCAGAAATCATTCTAATATGCTGATTTGCTGCTCAGAAAACATTTCTTATTATTATCAATGTCGAAAACAGTTGTGGTGCTTAATATTTATGTGGAAACCATGATACATTTTTATTAGATTCTTCAATGAATAGAAAGTTCAAAAGAACAGCATTGATTTGAAATAGAATTAAAGGGAATAAATGTAGGTTGCATGCTGTAAATGTGGCCTGTTTAATGTACTTGTAAAAGGTAAATATGGACATGTATGAATGTATTTAAGGTATGATTTTTTGCATTCCCTGGGAATTGAACACATGACCTTAGCATTTCTAGTGCCATGCTTTACTGTTACTAAACATTTCATGTTATAAAAAGGAAAAATATGGTTTAGGAAACAAACACACATTCATAAATCACATCTTTCTGTACACTTGTTGTCCAAACATATTAATCAGAAACTTAAGAATCTACTATGCATGCTACCAAAATGTATCACTGCATTGTTTAATTTTCCATATACGTCTGTGTGGTGCCGCTGTCTAAGTTAATGCGATGCTTACAGGCAAAATCCTAGCGCTGGGTGACAGCAGCGGCTTAAATTAGCTTCTACAACAGTACATGAGGAGTCAGCTCTGCTAACGTCACACATATATACACTCACACACCGCATGTACCTGCTGCACAACACAAACATGCACCTTTCTGCAGCAGATGCAGTATGTTGATGATTGTGGAGTCTTCATATCAGTGCAGCCATTATATTTGGAAGTAATCTTGTTCTTAGGATTTAGGTCATTACCAATAATAGATTTTCATACATTACAGTTCAGTTTTGTGGTTGGTAAGATTTTTAAAAAAGTTTTTGAATGATTTATTCATTTATTTGTTCAAAAATACAGTAAAAACAGTAATATTGTGAAATATTATTACAATTTTAAATAACTGTTTTCTATTTGAATAGATTTTAAAATGTCATTTATTACTGTGGCGCAAAGCTGAATTTTCAGCATCATTACTCCAGTCTTCAGTGTCACATGATCCTTCAGAAATCATTCTAATATGCTGATTTGCTGCTCAGAAAACATTTCTTATTATTATCAATGTCGAAAACAGTTGTGGTGCTTAATATTTATGTGGAAACCATGATACATTTTTATTAGATTCTTCAATGAATAGAAAGTTCAAAAGAACAGCATTGATTTGAAATAGAATTAAAGGGAATAAATGTAGGTTGCATGCTGTAAATGTGGCCTGTTTAATGTACTTGTAAAAGGTAAATATGGACATGTATGAATGTATTTAAGGTATGATTTTTTGCATTCCCTGGGAATTGAACACATGACCTTAGCATTTCTAGTGCCATGCTTTACTGTTACTAAACATTTCATGTTATAAAAAGGAAAAATATGGTTTAGGAAACAAACACACATTCATAAATCACATCTTTCTGTACACTTGTTGTCCAAACATATCAGAAACTTAAGAATCTACTATGCATGCTACCAAAATGTATCACTACATTGTTTAATTTTCCATATACGTCTGTGTGGCAGGAGTGACCAGCTCAATGTCGGGGACTATATAAAATCAGTGAACGGGATAAACCTGTCCAAACTCAGACATGATGAGATCATCAGCATGCTGAAGAACATCGGTGAGCGTGTGGTGCTGGAGGTGGAGTACGAGCTGCCGCCTTTCGGTACGGACACAAATACATTCACATTTACATTCCCTCCAGTCTCCTGTGGAATAAACGTTTGGCCTGGGAAGATTTTTAAGTGTTTTTGAAAGAAGTCTCTTATTCTCACCGAAGATGCATTTATTTGATCAAAAATGCAGTAAAACAGTAATAATGCAAAATGTTATTACAGTTTTAAATAACTTTTCTATTTGAATATATGTTAAAATGTCATTTATTCTTGTGATCAAAGCTGAATTTTCAGCATCATTACTCCAGTGTCACATGATCCTTCGGAAATCATTCTAATATGCTGACTTTCTGATCAAAAATAATTTATAATTATTAGTGCTAGGGCTGTGCAAAAAATCAAATGCAATTTTCATGCGCATCTCGTCAGTAAAGCCGCTTCTGTGATTAGTAGTAAATCTCCAGCACATGCTTTCAGATGGAGCAGCATTTACTACACAGAGCCGTAGTTCACTGACAAGCTACACAAAATTTACATACATGGCATTAGTGTTTTTGGTCTTGTTAAAGTCTGTAGCTCTGTATCTCATCCTCCTGTGACATTAACACAAACTGTTCTCTGTGTGTTTAGCTCCCAGCAATCACTGCAGCGTCATCTCTAAAACTATCGAAGTGTGCTTGGAGAAAGAAGGGAACAGCTTTGGCTTCGTTCTGAGAGGTGCAGAACCACCATCAGACACTTTAAAATGTCTTTACATGAATATCGCATGTGTTTTAACTTGAAATGAGGTTATGACCCTAAAACTGAGGGAAAATACATCAATAATGGTTTGAAATCAAACTAGCTGTTTTTTTTTTAATTATATCACAAAGAATATTCTAGGTTCATTACAACCGTGTTTCCCAAACCAGGCTTGTGAGGGAACTGCATGGGGGTTATGCTAATAATTAATTTAATCATAAAAATGTCAAATTAAAATAAATAATTTTCACATAAAAACATGAAATATTTTATTTATTTACCTGCATGTCATTACCTGTGAACATGTAAATGTGTTGTAAAATTATTGAAAAATTAACTTAAAATCTCGGGATATTTAAAGAAAATATTTTAGATTTAAAATGGTCCAGTTTGGGAATCCTTTCAATACAACTTCAGCACTGTGCATATTTTACAAACTGAGGGAAAAGAAAAAAAATATTTTAAAGCATTTGTGTGATGGTACTCTCAAGGTCAGCGGGTGTGTGTGTGTTCAGCTGCATTTTATGACTAAAGGCAATCGAGTTGGCATGTCAGGTGTGCATTTCACATGCTTTCAGGGGGCTTTCATGAGGACTGGCATAAGGCTCGACCTCTAGTAGTGACCTACGTCAGGCCCGGCGGACCCGCAGACAGGTGAGACAACAGCATCTCAAATCATTGGTGTGTGTGTGTGTGTGTGTGTGAGAGAGACACGAGGCCCTTTAGAACATCTCTGTTTATTAATTAGCAGAATGTCTGACTCATTGTGAAGCTCTCTGCCTTAGTGTGTTTGTGTGTGTGTGTGTCACATCAGTGCCATCTGCATGCATTCGGTAGGTTATTTATTGCCGTAATAGTTTTTTCTGTGTATGAGATGTTATGTATCTGGTGTAGATTATGAGAGCATTCTGTATGTTGTGTGTGTGATCGTTGAACCCTGTAAGCTTGTTCTGGAGGCGCACACATGTTAACTGAAGCATAGGCTGATGACATTAGAATGAGTGAGAACAGGGTAGAACACAGCCTGAAGCACACACACACACAAGAGCAGGCGAAACACATGCATATGAACGCTTTCTGTTTCAACTTCTTGCTTTAATGTGAATTAGATTAGCATAGTAACTACACTTCCACAATGTGTATTGTTCTTGCAAAACAACACTTATATCAGTACCTCCAGTCTTTGACGATTCAGCAAAATGTTGCATTTTTGTGTTACTGCGTAATTCACTATTTAACATAATTGTGTGGTTCTAAAAGTTATTGACACATTAGTCTGATAAAGAAACATCCATGAATGAGAAAATGAAGCTTGTGACATTCTTGATGTTAAAGAGAGTTACTTAAAGGTGACATATCATGAAAATCTGACTTTTCCAGGTTTTAAGTGCTATAATCAGGTCCCCGGTGCATCTTACAACCAAGGAAACGTGAAAAAGATTAACCCAGTAATTTTGTTTTGGGAAGCCTTTTTCTGCAAGCGTCTGAGAAAACGAGCGCTCTGATTTCGCTCCCTTGGTGACGTGGCAATGGATCTCATTATAATATTACCGCCCTTTAATCTGTAAGTTTACACCCACGGCGCCGTTATTGTGTTTTCGCAAGCGACAACGGTGTACCAGCTCTAATGCCATGGCGAAAGTTTGAGCAAAACATGCTAACTGTTCTGTCTTTGGCTGCACAGACGAGCACAGAACACTGTTTAGAGTACCAGCCTCAGAGGAGATGAGAGAGCAGTGGATTTATTGATTTATTTACTGTATATTGCTGCTGCCACACAGATCTGAAATAAACATGCAATTTATTTCCCAGCAGTTTACCTTCACAGACATAACCAACTGTTTTTTGTAACTCATGTATGTTTTTAACGTAAACTTGTGTGTGAATGAGAACTTAGTTTAGTACTCGCATGCTGTGACAGCCGCCTTCTGTCCGTGTGCTTTGGGTGTGTGCACTCAGAAAACCGTATATCAGAAGTTTAGACTCATATGGTTTAAAACCCATGATTTTAGCGCGATAAACATGATAATCAGAACCAAAACAGATGTTTTTAGCAGGTACGAGCTGTAATTGCGCAGCTCTATTCTGGAAAAGGGGGCGGGGAGCAGCAGCTCATTTGCATTTAAAGAGACAAGCCTGAAAAACAGCGTGTTTCTGCTCAAAATAGGCATTTTCAAAATGATATAATAAATGATCTGTGGAGTATTTAGAGCTGAAACTTCACAGACACATTCTGGAGACGCCAGAGACTTATATTGCATATTGTAAAAAGGGGCATAATATGTCTCCTGTAAGGAATAGTTCATCCAAAAATGAAAATGAGCTCATTACCTTCCTCAGGCCTTCCAAGATGTAGATTTCTTTTTTTTTTCTTTTTTTTATCAGAAATCTATGATTACATCACTTGCTCACCAGTGGATCCTCTGCAGTGAATGGGTGCCGTCAGAATGAGAGTCCAAACAGCTGATAAAAACATGACAATAATCCACAAGTAATCCACACCACTCCAGTCCATCAATTAATCTCTTGTGAAGTGAAAAAAACATGGGTCTGTAATAATCAAATCAATGATTAAGACATTTTAACTTCAAACCACTGCTCTCAAATAAAATAGTCTTCTATCCATAATATTGCTTTCTCCAGTGAAAGGTCATCTTGTCTGAATCAAGCACAGATCAAGCACTATTTACAATCCAAAGCAGCTCTAAACAAATATGTTGTTTGAATTTGATGTGAGACACAGGAGATGAACTTGGAGGAAGAATTATTATGTATTATGGACTGTTAGCCTTTGTGCAGGAAATAGTGTGCAAGATGGATAATGATGGATTTGTTGGTTATGATTTGTTTGTTGTATGTAATGATGATGTATTTGTTACAAATCCACAGCCTTTCACTTCACAAGATGTTAACTGATGGACTGTGGAGTACTTGTGGATTATTGTGATGTTTTTATCAGCTGTTTGGACTCTCATTCTGACGGCACCCATTCACTGCAAAGGATCCATTGCTGAGCAAATGATGTAATGCTAAATTTCTCCAAATCTGTTCCCATGAAGAAACAAACAACATATTCATCTTGGATGGCCTGAGGGTGAGTGTTCTGTACCAGAATATTAAACCTACACAGAAAATGTAAATTTAAAAACATTCATCTTTGTTCTGTTGTTTGTAATTTGCTTATTTTTTCTTATTTTTAATGACAAAAAATATCTGGTTTAATTTGATAAGTTTTTTAGTGTCATACACATGGTAAATGTGGTATTCTAATTATAAAAATAAATCAATTTCCAAGAAATGCTGGAAATTACCTCCAGAAAGTCAGTCATTTTGATCAGAAAAAAGCATGAAATCCTGGTAGGGCTGTTTTATTTCAGCGTTCACCTCTCATCTCAACTGCTGTCTTTTTATGTTTCCGTACGTCTCTCCGTGTTTCTCTGTCTGTCAGAGAGGGAACCCTGCGAGCGGGCGACCGTGTGTTGAGCGTGAACGGTGTTGCTGTGAACAGACAGAAACATGCTGACGCTCTGACCCTGATCATGCAGAGCAGCCAGGAGGCGTTCTTCCTCATCGAGTACGACATCATGGTCATGGGTGAGCAGGCACACAGATGTGCACGTGCGCGCAGACACACACGCTTGAGTTTGCTTGTATGCACAGATACTCTCATGTGGCCTTAATTAGAGTAGAAACAGATTCCACTTCCCTCTAGATTCCCATAGGAAAGACATAACACCAATGAGATCCTGCACAGCAATGAGATTAAAGCTTCCTGCTTCTCAAAAAGACCTAATGTGTCTCCTGTAGATGTTTTTTAGAAGCAGTCTCAACAGATGTCCCAAACCTGGCTGGATCTCAATATGAACTAGATCTTTTTTTCAAAGAGCAAATGATTGAAGCTGCTGTGCACATTACATTTAAAGCTCTGATTATAGGAAACCCTATCAAATGTTTTTCTGTTCTACTGTTCATAAGTGTTTTGTTTTTGTTTTTTTTGAAAGAAAGAAATTAATACTTTTATTCAAAAAGGATGCATTAAATTGTATGGATGCATCTAAAATTTATCACGGTTTACACAAAAATATTAAGCAGCACAACTGTTTTCAACACTGATAATAAGATAAGAAATGTTTCATGAGCAGCAAATTAGCATATTTGAAAGATTTCTAAAGGGTCATGTGACACTGAAGACTGGAGTAATGATGCTGAAAATGTAGCTTCACAGGAATAGATAACATTTTAAAATATATTTGATCTGAAACCAGTTATTTTAAATTGTAGTAATGTTTGACAGTATTACTGTTTTAGTGTATTTTTGAACAAATAAAAGAAGCCTTGGTGAGCATAAAAGATTATTTTCAAAAACATCAAAAAATCTTTACTGACCCTAAAATTTTGAATGGAAATTTGTGCTATTGAAAATGGAAGTTGGTACGAAAAATCCCCTAATCTTTCTGTTTCTCTCTGGTTGTTGTTTGGTCTTATGTCAGACTCAGTCCAGAAATCGTCTGGGCCGCTGCAGGTGGACATCGCCCGCTCCGCAGGTTCAGTGCTGGGACTCAGTCTCACTACCTCCCTCTACAGGAACAAACAGGTCATTACAATCCAGAAAATCAAGCCTGCTAGTGTTGCAGACAGGTGAGCACTCAGTCATACACACAAATTTAGAGCCAAACAGACACGAAAAGAATCACATGCACAAATACATTAATAAAAATTACAAAAGCGTAGGCATTCATTTAATTCTAGATAATTAATTACCTGAATCAACGCAGTGATTTTACAAGAGTGATAGTTCGATTTATCAACCAAACAGATTATTCTGTCAGTATGTGGTTGATATTTGAACGATTGTCAGCAGCTTGCTGGTTTCAAAATATACTGACAGCTACATAAATCTATAATGAACACCTTATTGCCAAATATTTTTTGAGAGTTTTTATAATGCTATTTAAATAAATATTGCCTAAATAAATTAGCTAACATTAAATTATATTAATTTTTATATTTACTGGATATTGCACAAATTTGTATTTTATGCTTTTTATTTTATACCGATTTTATAATGTTCATTAATGTTAATTGTTTCTATTAAATAAATATATGCATCATACCTGCCCCCTCATACTTCCCCTGCTCTCTAGGCATGCCAAAACTTTATTTTATTTTTGTTTACATCACCTTGTGTTTGGAGATTATGCTCTTCACAATTAGTGTTAGATCCACATGCAATAAAAATTTGATTATTTCATTTAATTAGCATGAAACAAAGTATTCTCACATAAACATATTTAGCAATCCTCTTCTCTCGCTGTCTCTTTTTTACCTTACACCTTCCCATCTGTTGTGACTGTTTTCACTCTGTTTCTTGACTTTCTCACCTTGTTACCACCGTTCTGTCACTCTCTTGCTCTCTTTCCCTCTTTTCCTCAGATGTGGTGCTTTGCATGTGGGAGATATTCTCCTGGCTATAGATGGCATGAGCACAGAGCACTGCTCTCTGATGGAGGCTCAGCAGCTCCTGTCCAGCTCCTCAGAGCTCACCAAACTAGAGATCCTGCCCTCTCAACACTGCTCACATGACACAGGTCTGCAGACACATACAGCTCATAAACAAACTCAAAGGCCCGTAGTGACTGATATTCACATGTTTAGATAATCTTGACATGTCTTGTAGAATTTATTCACAAGTAACTTTCTTTGGCTATGTTTACAATAGCGTACTGCTCTACTCTTAGCATGTGTTTCTGTGCAGACTAGACATACTATGAAAATTAATAATGCGCACATTTTGCCATGAAAAATTTAAGGGGGTCTGAATACTTTCCGTACCCACTGTATAAGAGCTTACTTACAATGCAATTCTTGACAATTTCCAGGGTGAAAAATGAAGTGCAGCTATTAATTATATAATTAATATTAACTTTGCAAAATAATAAAAATGCAAAATACCTTTTTAGTTTTTTATTTAGTTAGTTATTATATCTGGAGACCACTTACTGAATAAAAAAAAGTACCATACAATAGTATGTTTTTCTTTTTATTTATTTGCCATACCGTTTCACATACAGTACTTTTATTACACTATGTTCAAATATTATTTATTAATTTATTTATTTTTATCAAGACTCAAAATTTCAATTAAAAAAAAAAACTTTTTTTTTTTTTTTTTTTGCCATGCCTTTTCACATACTATTTATTCATTTATTAAAATCGGGACAACACTTTCTGAATATGTAAAAATGTAGAATACTATAGTTTCAGGGTTGTTGTTTTTTCTGTACCATTTAAAATGTATTTATTTATTTAGTCAATTAATCAATCAATCAATCTGGGCTCCAGTTGCTCAATTAAAAAGCATATAGCATACTACAGTTTGATTTTTTCCACATTTTATTTATTTATCTGGACATCACTTTGTGAATTAAAAATGTAGTTTACTACAGTTTTTTGTCATACTATTTCATGCTATTTATGTATTCATATTTGCTAAACTCATCATAGTGAGTTCATATGGAGAAAAAAGTAGCATACAGTTAGAAATGTTTCATTTTTTATACTATTTTTATACTGTAAAAGCAGTAGGTTGTATTCATTGTATACTGCGCAGTAAGCAGTGCGCGAATGCGTTTATCCAGGCTGATTTCCCGTCCATCAGCATTAGTACAAAAAGCATCAAAGCTCTATTTTTAATTCATATGCAATTTGTGTTTATGCTCCATATTTACTATATGAATTCAATTCACAGCTGCTGCTTTACACTTGCATCCTTACTGGATTATTTCCTTGTCCCATCTTCCTCTCTCCTTCTCTTCTCTCTTTCTGTCTCTCTTTGACCTTTATTCATGCCAGTGTCGGTTTGTAGTGATTGTCGGCGTCCAGCTTTGGGCCACTTTCTTACAAGTATCATGAGTCATTCTTAATATGCAGAGCACTGCAGGCAAGACTTCCCGTACCCTACAGACATGAGTCCACACACACACACACACACACACACACACACACACACACACACAGTGAGCTCAGAGCCTTCACTCTGGCTTTACTATGTTACTAGAAAACCACATACTGACTGTATCATTGGATTTTCTAGAAATGCGATATGCAGAGGCGCACAGCAGTTATAAAGTGATTTGAACACCTGCATCCTCTTTAGCTCAAGCTTGAGCTCACCGGACAGCTCATCTGTCAGAGAATAATCTCATTTGTGGAGTCATTTTTCATGCACACAGATTATACACTGCAGAACTGAAAACTGAGTAATGTACAGAAAGAAGTCTCTTATGCTCACCAAGGCTGCATTTATTTGACTAAAAATACAGTAGAAACAATGAAATATTATTATAATTTAAAGTAACCATTTCCTATTTGATTATATTTTAAAATGTGATTCATTCCTGTGATGCAAAGATACATTTTCTGCAGCCATTATATTTTACTTCAGTGTCACATGATCCTTCACTGCTTTGCACGTTTAAATCAGCAGGTGGTGCTCAGGTATCATCCTAGAAATTAATGTGCAGTATTTTGGATTTTTAATATTTGAAATTAAAAAATATCTGATCTCCTGGGCATCTGATCTAATAAGGAGTCAGGAAACTGATTTTTTTCTGGTTTATTCGCAACGGTTAAGTTCATGTTTGCATTGCAACGTGGGATGCATTTTTCATCTTAGTGCGCTGTTGTACATTTTGACACATGTAGTACATCATCTACATAGTCCAAGCATACAGTAAATTCAGTATGTAAGTGGCATACTGCAGAAATAGTATGTGTATTATGGTAGTGTGCTGTTCTGATCATAGCTAAAAATACCACCTCAATTCCTCTCACCTGTTTGATTGACAATGTTGTTTTAGTATTATTTGCATACTAGTTTAGTATTTTTTTATCTTTTAATTTTAGTCATTTTATGTGCTTTTGTCATTTTAGTTATTAGTTTTTTTTAGTTATTTTAAATATTTCTATTTAGCGTTACTTAATTTTTTTTTGTTTTAGTCACTTTTAAGCTCATTTTTATTTCAGTTAGTTGCCAAGACAACATTTCTAGGCAACATTTTTAAGTTCTTTACGTTTTTAAATGAATATTTAGATAGAAAAATTTATTACGATGAACTAAATGGTTTTGAATAGTTTTAGTTAACATTAACAACACTGTTGACACATCTGCCAGTGAAAACACACATTGCATGATATTTTGGGTTTGTTTGTATGTATTTTCAAATTTTCGGAATCCTGTATGACCTACTATGTCGGCAATATTAACTGTGATTAAACAACTATTTTATGATTCATCAGACTTCCAAGCGTTAAGACATTTTTACACATTATTGTATTTTATTTTATTATCTGGACACCACTTTCTGAATTAAAAACTCAACATAGTGGGATCATGTGACAAAAAAGGTAACATACTACAGAAATTTTAATTTTTGCCATATTGCTTCACATACAGTGAATACCTGTATGATTCACTATATTTGCCAAAATGTGCAATGTTCAGCCAAACAAACAGATTAGGTTTGACTGGTTAAAAAGTTTTTCCAGTGCCTCTTAAAAACATGACTCTTTTTTTTGTTTGCCATCTTTTTTGTCAGCTTAGTATTTAGCATTGAGAGGAAAAATCATTCAAATAACTGCATATAAGACAGCAGAGTAATACAAAGAAAAGCAAGGCAGAGGACCTCTTTGAAGTGCAGATTTCTCTCTGTCTAAACAGCTGGTCTGATGGGAGTGGCACTTCCTAACGAGCCTGACACCATGCATGTCTAATTAAGCATCATTAGTGACACAGCTGCTTAGTGTCAGAAGGAGCGTTTCTGTCACAATCCAAAACAATGTCCTCTATCTGTCTTGCAGAGCATTTGTTTCTAATCGTGAGTGAAGAGAGAGTTTTAAGATGGTTCCTCCACTGCTGGCAGCCTTACTAGAGCTGGCCCGGAAATGTAAGAGAAAGCAAAGGGAATGGAGGGAATAAATGCGCTGTGTGAAACGCATGCCTATGAGCAGCGTCTCTGATGAATGTCAATGATCAGTGAAGCAGTGTGGATCAGTCCAGTCAGATCTTTCTGCAGATGTATATCAGCCTGAGTGCTGTAACGTAAGCTTGTTTTCAGCAGAAATAACCCATTTACCGTCCCTTTTTGTGTGTGTCTGTGTTTTCCCTGCAGTACGAGTCCAGAGGAGTAGTCAGCGTCAGTGGGACTCTAGTGAGAACTACACCTGCACTGCTCCACCTTTCCAAAAAACCTCCTCGGCCTGGAGTCACACCACCCCTACACCCTCACACCGATGTGAGTGTCCCCTGTGTGCACGTCTTCATAATGTACTCTACATTAAATTATAAACCAGATTTTTAAATGTAATGAATTGTCTGAGATACTGGGAGAGGACACACTAATATACTACTCATACTTTAATTAAATATGCAGTTGTAAGCAAGTTTTCTGTATGAATGGAATACCTGGATAACCTACTGTATTACATTTGTCAAAAGACGCACTCCCACAGTGAAAGCCTCATTCATTCATTTATTTAGATTTCTTTCTTAATTAAATCTTTTTTTTTTTTAATTCATTTTATGTATTCACTTTTATTTATTTATTTTAGTTTTATTTTCATTTGCATTTATTATTTTTAATTTATTTTATTAATTTTCTCTTTATTTATAGTCATTAATCTATTTTTATTTTCATATTTATTCATTTGTATTTATGTTTTTAATTTGTCTTTTTATTTTAATTTATGTATTTTATTTACTTAGGTTTATTTATTTTATTTTTATTTTCATTTGCATTTATTATTTTAAATTTATTTTATTAATTTTCTCTTTATTTATAGTCATTAATCTATTTTTATTTTCATATTTATTCATTTGTATTTATGTTTTTAATTTGTCTTTTTATTTTAATTTATGTATTTTATTTACTTAGGTTTATTTATTTTATTTTTATTTTCATTTGCATTTATTATTTTAAATTTATTTTATTAATTTTCTCTTTATTTATAGTCATTAATCTATTTTTATTTTCATATTTATTCATTTGTATTTACTTATGTTTTTAATTTGTCTTTTTATTTTAATTTATGTATTTTTATTTACTTATTTTTGTCTTTTTTTCTATCGTTACTTTTATTTTCATTCTTTTTTTATTTTTTATTTTTTTTACATTTTCCAAACAAAAGTCAAGCATCATTTATCTGTATTCCACTTTTTACAATCCATGTTGGTTCAAAGCAGTTTTACAGTCCTTTACGAAAGCATTAAAAATACATATTGCTAAATAAACTGGCTGTCACTCATATTGCATACTAACGGTATGCTAGTATTCCATTCCAGTATAGTCACACATCAATTGCACATGGTGATTTCAGCATTGTCAATCTCAAATCTTCTCTCTCCCCCAGCTGTGACGTCTGGCATCTCTGCAAACACCTCAGGCTTTCACAGTTACAACTGTGGCACCCAGTCGACGTACCCCAGCACCTATCCCAGCAACACCCTGCCCTCCTACCCATCCAGCCCTCACTGCACCGTCACCAAGAGGAGACAAAGGAGAAGAGACCACAAGAGCTCCTGTGAGTGATAATGAATTAATTTATATTTTAAATAGTGCAGAATTTAAAAAGAAAAATAATAGTAGTAGAATTTAAAAATAATAGTAGAATGTAAAAAGAAAAATAATAATTTGTAATATAATTAAAAATGCTCAATGATATCCAGTATAATCAAATCAGCAAAATAACCAATATAGTTTATATAGTAACACCCCAAGTTGTTAGTCATGCTCAAATACTATATTACTGGGAAGGATTCCTTATTTATCAATCATTTGATTATCATCATTTATTCAATATTTTAATGATTGAATAGTCTTATCATAATAAACTCATAAAACACTCAGGGTTGTACATTAAGAGTTTTAAGGTTCAGTTTGCATTACTGTATGTCAGTTTCTATTTCTTTCTCTCTCTCAGTGTCTCTGGCGTCGAGTACGGTGGGCGCCGGTGGTCAGGTGGTGCATATAGAGACCAGTGAGGTGGTTCTGAGAGGAGATCCTCTTACTGGATTCGGCCTGCAGTTACAGGGGGGAGTGTTTGCTACTGAGCCGCTGTCAGCGCCTGCCTGCGTTCGCTTTATAGAGCCTGACACACCTGCTGAAAGGTGAGAGGACGCCGCTGCTCCGAGCTGTCAAACTGTAGATGTGATGCATGCTGAAGCCATTGTCTTGTACATTTAGAGCCTGTGGAGAGATGAACATGTACGTACACACACACACGAGCCTTACAGCATGAGAGAAAGCTGAGCTGCTGATCTGACCCAGTACAAAGATCACCTGTGACAGCTTGCTTCAGGATTGTAGACGTTACTGCGCAGTTGCTATTATTCTGTTGACGTCTCAGTCCCAGGTTTGCGAACCTGAAGCATTTATCAAAATACAAACCAACAACCGGATATAAAACCACAGATATATTTTGAATCTGTTTAATACAAAATAAAGCAATGGATATTATAGATTTCAAATAAATGCTGTTCTTTTGAACTTTCTGTTCATCAAGGAATCCTTAGAAAACTATCATGGTTTTCGCAAAAATATGAAGCAGCACAACGGTTTTCAACATTGGTAATAGTAAAGGCGACTGAAAATGCAGCTTTGCATCAAAGGAATAAATTACATATTAAAATGTAAAAATAATATATAAACGTTGCTTTAAATTGTAATAATATTTCACAATATTACTGTTTTTACTACTGTATTTTGGTCAAACAAATGCTGCCTTGTTGAGTGTAATTTTTTTTTTTTCCTCAACGGAATACTTTTTTTTATCATTACAGTGATGATGATAATTACCTGTTGTTCTATCTACCAATCATTGTTATTCTGTTATCATCTTTATGTATTATCATTATTATTATTGTTAAATATTTTAATTATTCAATATTGTTTTGCAGAATTAAAAGAATGGAAATTTAACTCAAATTTCTAAATTCTATTCTGTGGCAGAAACACAAATTGCAATTCTGAGTTTATATCTTTAAAAAAAAGGTTAGAACTGCTAGAAAAAAAGTCCGGATTATGACATAAGTCGCAATTACCTTTATTTTTAAATTCTGCAACATTATGACTTAAGACTCAGAATTGCAAGAAGAAAGTCAAAATTGTGAGAGTCACAATTACCTTTTTTTTTTTAAATTCTTTTGTCAAGTGACGGAAATAGGCTTCCATCAAAACGAATCTTTTAAACAGTAGTGTACATTTAAATTCATATGTAACAATCAGTAAAAATATATTTTTTGACTTCCGTTGTCTTGTTACTGTGTGTGAATGTGTCTGTTTATTTGAATATGTACCGTGTATATTTGCGTTCCAGGTGTGGGGTGTTACAAGTTGGAGACAGAATTCTTTCTATTAATGGAATTCCCACTGAGGACGGAACACTGGAAGAGGCCAATCAGCTGCTCCGAGATGCAGCACTGGCCAATAAGGTCACACTGGAGGTGGAGTTTGATGTAGCAGGTACAAAATATCATTTCAATCAGTGATTCAAGTTGATTTTAAATGTGATCTGAACACACAGTCACAAATGTTTAATGTATATTTCCATGTGTGTATCTCACAGAATCAGTCATTCCCAGCAGTGGCACATTTCAGGTTAAATTGCCCAAGAGACGTGGAGTGGAGCTGGGCATTACGATCAGTGGTGAGTGATGACCAAATGAGGGCGCTGTGTACCTAGATCAAATGTAGCTATAAATATGATCTACATTTTATTTAACTGAATGCACCCTGTATTTAATGAACTCTATATAATATCAAATTTGAGGTGGTAATTGCATTAAATTGTTGCAATAATGCAAAATTAAAAAATCAATAATTTCTGATTTGCAGCGAGCAAGAAGCCAGGAAAACCTTTGATCATCTCTGAGATACAGAGAGGCAGTATTGCACACAGGTAAACCATCAATACAACACACTGAACCAATTCATTTGATGAACCTTCTTTGACAAGAAAAACTGATAGATATTGATGTGAAATGGCCTTTTGTAATAGAATAGGAACCCTGGAGCCAGGTGATCGTCTGCTGGCTATTGATAATGTTCGGCTGGATAATTGTGGGATGGAAGAAGCCATGATGGTCCTCCAGCAGGCCGAGGGGATGGTCAAACTGCGGATTCAGAAAGACGAAGACAACCTGGGTGAGTGTGTTTTTGTGTGTGTAGTCTTTAAGAAATTCTGATTCTCATTTGTACTGGGGATTATTTTGTACTTGAGTAATTTTGTAGTCAAGTATTCAAAGACCTAAATGAGTAATCAAGTACTGGAAAATTAAAGTTACATTTTAAGTTTTTGTTTTAATTAAATGTAGTGTAGATGGCCGCTGTAACAAGTTATATTAAATTATATTGTGACATATTCACCTTATTGTTTTAATAACTTCAAATATTTATACTTTGGATGGATGGATAGATAGAAATTATCAATATGCATTACTAAAATTGTTTAAATTGAATTAAAAACAAATTTATTAATGCATGTGCATTTATAATTTAATTATTTTGTGTGTGTGTGTGTGTGTGTGTGTGCGTGTGTGTGTTTGTGTGTGTGTGTGAGTGTGAGAGAGAGAGCGTGTGTGTGAGGGGGGGGGGGGGGGGGGTTGGGTTTCTCCTTACTGTTTTAATAAATACAATCTGTGCTTTCCTTAAAAATATATTTGAATGATAATGTATGTTAAATATGCACGTACATTGCTTGTACGTTTATAATTGCGTATAATTTACCTATAATTTCATAAAGCTGCCATATACAGTATATTAACATTTTTTAACTAAAACAAAAAGGAAAAATGCATCTTGATTTTACATATAAAAACAATATGCATTAATAAAATGTTATTCTTATCTAAAGAATTTTTTTTGTAAATTTAAATGAATCTGAGACAAAAATAAATATATTATATATAAATATGAAAAACTTTAACTTAAAAAAAACTTGTCAGTTCATTTCCAGGGCAACATTTCAAATTTTAAGTTGAAGTACTAATATTACTAAAACTAAAACTGAAATAATATAAAGCTAAATAAAAAAAATTTAAAACTGAAAATATAAAATTCAAATCTAATAAATAAACTCTAATTCTAATAACACGTACTATAGTATATAAATATTACTAAAAAATACTGTAAATAAACATTAAAAAAAGTTAAAGTTCTTTGCATTGATTATTTGACCTCATTTTAACCCGTGTATGTTTGTGTATTGTTTATTGCAGATGAATTAGAGTCGTCCGGTTCAGTCATATTCACAGTAGAGCTCAAGAGACATGGAGGTCCTCTTGGAATCACCATTTCAGGCACTGAAGAGCCCTTCAATCCCATCCTGATCTCCAGCCTGACCCGCAACGGCCTCGCGCACAGGTGCACACAAACACTCACCACCTCATCTACCGTTTCATGCAGCAGTACATGAACAATACACACTCAAACCCGCATGTTTCATAACAACACACGTCATCTGACATCTTGAGCAGCAGGCTCACATGTGATATCTGGTGGGCAGTGTGGGAACTGCAATGCAGTTAATGTTACCTGACTTTCACATGAGATTTGATGTGTAAAGGACTGGTGCTCTTCATATCGGTGACCGTGTTTTGGCCATCAATAACATGAGTCTCAAGGGAAAACCTCTGAGCGAGGCCATCCACCTGCTGCAGACCGCCGGAGACACGGTTACACTCAAGATCAAGAAGCGATCCGAGCGTAAGTGTCAGAATTAAGACCCGTGTGTGCGTTCTGGAGAGGTGCATGCAAACATTTCCGACATACACTCCACTAGGAAAAGCATCTTTATGAATAATGCATCGGTGCTTGTCCTCCTGACCCACATCTGTCTTTTCCAGCACTTTTGGAGTCGGACAGGGGCAGTCCGTCCAGGACGGCCTCGTGCGTGAGCGACATGGAAGACGATCGCTCAGATTCTCTCAGGAGAGGAAAATACTCTGAACTTCATCGCCTGAACACACCGCCCAGTCTGGATTCAGCCATGGACTCGTGGGATAGTTCGGCCCTAGATGCCGGCTACGGAAGTCAAGGTGCGGAAGATGATGACAAACGTAATTGAATGTGAACAAGGGCAGAAACATGAGGTCAGCGAGGGTTAATGAACTCATTTGGACATTAATCAAGTGGGCGAGAGGGTTCAGATAAGATGACTGTGCCTGGATTGGGATTTGTCCTAAGAGTTTTCTTTTATTGAGGTCAGTGAAGGAGCCTCGGAAAATTAAAGACATAGTCATAGAAAAATATAAAACCAAAAACTGAACCAAACCTGCCCAAAAGAAAACTAGCTCATTTTTCCCCCCCGCATCCAGTCACAGTTTACAGCTCCAGGATTCTAATAAAATTAAAATATTTTAATTTAATTTATTATATATATATTTTTTTATTTGGATGATTTTAGCTACACTGTTTTGTAGTATGTGCTTATTTACTCTATTTTATACCACACATACATACACATATATATATAGATATAGATATAGATATATATATAGATATAGATAGATATTTTTAATTATTTTACTTTTTTTTAAAAATATTTTTTGATGTATGTTTATTTATTCTGTATTATATGCCTCATATATATATATATATATATATATATATATGGAATAAAATACCAGATAGCTAGAAATAGGACTAGCTATCCATAAAATAATGCTAGCTAGTACTCTTAAAATGCATTGTTCTTCCTCAAATTCTTTAAAATCTTTGATCTTCATAAAGGAAAATAAAATCATCTCTGATATTTTTAATCTCACTCCAAACCATTATTAATAGCCTACATACTGTTTTTTTTCTTTGCTCTTCTGTCCACGTTCATTCTAGTTTTGTCTATACATAAGAATCAATGTGCAATTAATCAGATTTTTGCAATCTCAATTAAAATTCCTGATGTGGAGAAACTCAAGTAACCCCCTGAGGTTGCCAGGTATTTATACCAAGAATCAATATACTTTAAAGGATCCAATTTTATTTTTCTTAGCCAACAAATAAACCTTTTGCCAGCCACAGTACATTATAAAAGTATCCAAAAACTTGCATTCCATAGCTGTGCGACTTTTCCTGCAATGGCATTTTTTAAATCCTGAGTGGAAAAATGTGACCCTGGCAACACTGGAGATTATCTAGCCAACAGTTAAGTGTAGTTTATCCATACCTATACAACGATATAACAAGCAACTTTTCTATACAGTGACTAGATGCTGTCAAGCTCCAAAAGGACAAAAAAGATCCATAAATTCCGAACACTATATTCCTCACAGTCATTCTTTTTTAGAAAATCTTCCCCTTTATCATGGCTCTCAAATCTAACTCATGTTTGAGCATAATCAAACCTAAACCTTTATTTTCAGGTGTCTATATTCATAGGGCATCTGATTTCACTCTTCATCCCAATGACTGGAGACAGACCAATCACAGGAGCCCGCTGACCTCCAGAAGACACGCCCACCATCCTGCAATGTATGATGGGAGGCTGGGCGAGGAGGACTGGACATACTCTGGGTGAGAGTTTGCTTGGGGACACAGCTTGTTGATTCTGTTGGAACAGTACTTCATCTTTTTTATCTCAGAGATACTAGACAGGAACTAGAAGGTTAAAGAAGCATAATAATAACCTTGTGCATAAGAACATTTCAGCTTGTTTTATAGTTTTGCTTACTAACACACAATTATGTGGCTGTTATTTTTTCACTTGGTCGGTCAGTTATTATTTCCCATGTATGCACACTTAGAAAGGAAGCATGCGGGTGAATCTCATGAAAAAATATAATTTCTCATATAATCTCTTATGCAAAATATAATTATTGAATTGTTGTGAACTGTGACCTGAGCATGTTATTTTGGGTTGGTTTTTTTTGTCCTAACAAATTATGTACATTACCGTTCAAAAGTTTGGGGTTTTGTAATGTTATGATCAAGTGTATTTGAATATATTTTAAAATGTAATTTATTCCTGAGATCAAAGCTGAATTTTCAGCATCATTACCCCAGTGTTCAGTGTCACATGACCCTTCAGAAATCATTCTGCTTAAGAAACATTTTATTGTCAATGTTGAAAACACAATCTGTGCTGCTGCACATTTTTGTGAAAACTGATACTTTATTTCAGGATTCAGGTGAATACAAAGTTCAAAAGCACAGCATTTAGTTGTAACATTATAAATGATAAATTTCATGTGTGCTTGTGTAATAATAATAAAAAAAAAACTTAATGACCCCAAATTTTTGAATGCTAGTGTGTATTCATATGTATATCAATGTTTTTAGATTAAGTTAAACATTACAAAACTAAAGTAACTAAAAGTGACAAACAAGAGCAAGTAGTAAAAAATGGGAATTCAAAGCAGTTTAATGTACTGCAATACAGACAGTAGGAGAGTCACCCATATTGATTATATGTAATTTAGCTGATTCTGGTGGAAAGTCAATACAGACGCTCAGGAGAACTATTGGTCACAAGCTCTTCAGGACCTGGAGACCTGCGGCCAATCGGAAATCCTGCGGGAACTTGAGGTAAATCAACTCTTATGAAATGGATCGTTCCGGTCCTTGATTCTGATTGGTTGAGCCAAGTTCGAAGCTGTTGTAAATTACTCTACAAACATACAACTTTGTTGAAACCACAACCATTTCTGAGGAACTACATTGTTTGGCGGAAGAAATGTTTTTATTAATATCATTACACTTTATTTGCTCTTTTATTTTGTGAAACCTTACTACGTATATAGAATAACCGTTTTATAAAAAACACGTCAAAAACGCTTCGCGTCGTGCCTAACAATGCCCCTTAACTGTTATAAATTCACTGTAAACCACGGCTTCTTGGGCTCATTGCTTTATCAACACTTTATATACAGTCTGTGTACTTTTATTGTTAAATCAACGTGTTTTGGCTTTCTAGCTGCTCCCAATTTATATTACATAGAAATAGGCAACGTGACCAAAATCTATACCATTACAGAAGTAATTTTCAACCAAAATCTTTACCAAGATAAAAATATTTTTTTTGTCTACATCTTTACCACAATATAAGAAATTCTCAACCAAAATCTTTACCAAGATATAAGGATTTTTTTAACCAAAATCTTTACCATGATGTAAGTAACATTTATCGACCAAAATCTTTACCCGGATAATAAATAAATAAATATATATATATATATATATATATATAAACAATTTTTAACCAGTCTTTACTATAAGTAATCAGCATATTAGAGTGATTTCTGAAGGATCATGTGACTAGCCGCATTTCCATTACCCTTTAAATTGTGTGAATTGAAAATACGCTCAATGGAAGCACGTCAATTTCTCAAAATCTCGCAAAAAAAGTTTTTGCATTGCATGAGGTGGTTTTTCAGGCAATTCGAAAAAGGGATATATCTTTCCAAATCAAATGTGGCGCAGTTTGTATTGGAGTGTTTAATTTAATTTCTAGGCCACTATAATGTCAGGCAGCACGCTGAGTTTGGGAGAAGACAGCGAGAAGCAGAATGAAAGCCGGACCAAAGCTCTCACACTGAGCCCAGAGAGGACCTCGGAGAACACAGCTGTACCAGAGGACATGAAGGACACCAGCCCATCCATGCCATTAGAGCTTCATAAAGTAATCTTCACTTCCCAAGCAGTTGAAATCATGTTGACATCACTACTGAATGACCCACAGATCTTCATTCTCTCCCTCTGGCTCAGATCTGTATACAGAAGGATGTTGACAGCAGGGATTTTGGGTTCAGCGTGTCTGACGGTCTGCTGGAAAAGGGTGTTTACGTTAACATGATCCGTCCGGATGGGCCTGCAGACAAAGCTGGGTTACGCCCATATGACCGTATTCTACAGGTGATGTATTGTACCAGCTGACCTTGTGACCTTTTCTTAAAGGAAGAGTTCACCTAAAAATGGAAAATGTCTTTATTTACTCAAACACATCACCTGAATTCTAGAAGGTTGAACTATTCCTTTAACCTGACATTTTTCTTATGGGGGTCAGTACAATGTTTATTCAGCAAGGATGCATAAAACTTATCAAAAGTGACAGTAAAGACATTTATAATGTTACAAAAGATTTCCATTTCAAATACTGTAAATGCTGTTACTTGTAATATTCTATTCAAAGAATCCTGAAAAAAAGTATCACAGTTTCTACAAAAATATTAAGCGGCACAACTGTTTTCAACGTTGATAAGAAATGTTTCTTCAGCAGCAAATCAGCATATTAGAGTGATTTCCGAAGGATCATGTGACACTGAAAATTCAGCTTTGCATCACAAGAATAAATTACATTTTAAAATGTTCAAATAGAAAACAGTTATTTAAAATTACAGTAATTCACAATATTACTGTTTTTGATCAAATAAATGCAGCTTTGGGAAAAATAAGAGACTTGAAAAAATGAAAAATACCGACCTAATGATTTTGAATGGAAGAATATATACTCTGTAGCAACAGCTCCTAAACGGAGTTCAAACTTGCTGTTTTTGTTTCTGACTCTTTTTAACAGGTCAATCATGCACGGACGCGTGATTTTGACTGTTGTCTAGCTGTGCCGTTGATCACAGAGGCCGGAGAGCATCTGCAGCTGGTCATTAGCAGAAACCCTCTCGCTCAGGCACACGTTTGGCCACCTAAAAACTGTCAGGACCCTGAACTGTCCGTGGTTTCTGCACCAAATCCAAGAAGAGTTGACCTCTGATTCCCAAAAATTAGCAACACAGAGCACAATTTAAGTTGTTTCACACAAATGGTTCTCTTTCTCAACTGCACAATGAACACATTAGCACTATTCTTGTTAATTATTTATCATTTTCAAACTTTTTTATTTTTGGTCACAAGTTCGGACCCACTACCATTTTTTTCATGCTTTTTAAACGATCCCGCACTAAACAAGCCACATCTTCAAAGTTTATTTGACCACTCACACAGGCACGTGAGTTTTATTCGTACACTGTTACACAAAACACGTCAAGTTCATCTTCATACATGCCACTTTTGTTTCTAATATAAATGACACTCATTTAGTTTCTGCTGTCAACGGTAACGCTTTGATGTTGATGCAGATCTGCAGGTTTTTACGGAACTCAAAGACAAACTTCAAGCCATCTTTTGTCTGTTCAGACGGTGAAAATCTTTCTCTAAGATCAAAACCATGACAGTTTGACAATCGATTTTTTAGAAATTTTCTGATGAAAAGGTACAAGTTTTCTCTGTTCATGAGTGACGTCTTGATGTGAGTGTTTCAGGTGCACGTGATGCGGTTCGGTGATGTCATTTGTGTACCATAAGGAATTTTATGAGGATTTTATGGCTTTACGTCCTGATGCACACCAGGAATAAATTCCGATTTTAAGTGAAGTCCTTCAAAGGAGCTTGTTTTAAGTGTAACTTTTAAACGCAGATCCTTCTCTGTATATCATTTACCCACAATCCTCTATTCTGTGTATAGACTCCTTTTTCCTGGATGTTAAATATGTAGAATGCAATGAATAAGATGTACATTGAATATTCTTGGGTTAGAAATTATTCCTTTTTTTTTTTTTAAAGAAAATAAAGGCTAAAAACCAGAGTGAATGGAACCCTGTCTGTGGTAAGAATACAGGTTTAAATTGATGACAGGTGCATGTTGGGATCTCTCACTGTTGTTCCAGCATTCAGGGGTTTGATATCGTAGACAGTGTTGGCACGAGGTGTAGATGAGCTGTCCCACAACTCACCGCACTGTCAGATACTGGAAGCCAAAGCTGTTTGACACGACTCCTATTTTAGTCCAAGGGCGAATTCGAGGAAACGTAAAGCCTAATGCATGAGCTGGGGATTTAATATTAAATGCGTAGGATTGTGGGCTGATGGAGGGACAATTGCTTCATTCTGATGTGGAATAAGGGGCAGTGTCTTTTGATATTTACTTCAAACAAAGACAAATAATTGACATGTATTAGTTTAATTTTGCCATTAAAAGTGGGTAGAGTTAACTAAGCTCAGATTTTTTTAAAGAGTCGATTCTTTTTAATGAACCTGTTGAACTTGTTCACAAATTACATGGATTGATCTTTCGAATGATTCATTTGTGAATTGGACTGATCTGATCAAGCTACAGCTCACTGAATCGGAGTGATCCGGCAGGCAGGGACACATTAACACATGGGCTGAAGCTCAGGGGCCTACTGGCTGCAGGTCAATTACATAATTTTAAATAATTATTTGCAAGGGTGTAGGTTTGATTTTGGCATTGGTGGGGACATAACGGCAAACAACAGGCGTTTAATTGTTTACATTTAGTAATTTTGCAGACGCTTTTATCCAATTGTTTGATCAAAATTATTGCTAGGGACAATTTATTAGTCACTGCATATTGGTTGGGACATGTCACGTCTTAAGTGACGTCCGACTTTGGAAACTATGGCCCTCTCTTTACATATGAAGAGGGCAAGCAACAGATTAATGAGTTGATCCAAATGGACATAAATGTAATACAAGTCAGACATTGAAGTGAGTTGATGTTTTTGTCACTCTTCTGAGGAAGATTCATTCACTTGTAATGGCGAGAGAAATTTTGGTCAGATTTTTTGTTTTGTAAGTGACTTTTCTTTCTGTTTTACAGATGTTTTCCTTGGATTGATTGACTATGGCTGCGTTCGAAACCGCATACTTCCATACTATATAGTAGGCAAAATGCAGTAGGTGAGCAAATAAGTATGTTTAAATCCTCAGTATTCAGGCGAGAAGTACCTGGCTGGTGCACTTATTCGGACGTACATATACTTAATTTGCGTTCGAATACGCCTACTTAACCTACTATATAGTAGGAGAAAACAGTACGTGAAGAAAGTACGTTCGAAACATCTTGATTTGGTTCACAAATGATTCACTGAAGGATTCCTTCGTGCTGCATCTCTCGACCTGCTCTAGAACTCGCAGATTCATTGATCCAGTCGGAATGAACCTTCAATCAAATAACAAGATCTCAAACTGATTGAGTCATTACAAATTTAGGTAGGATTTTGGACCAATCAGATTTTGTTTTGATATTTATTATGATAGGCATGTCATGTTTAGGTTCTAAATGTCTGTTTATGTGCTAAATCAGCTGTAAAAGAGAAAATTACGAGCATTTTTAAAGGGATAGTTCACCCAAACATGAAAATTTGATGTTTATCTGCTTACCCTCAGGGCATCCAAGATGTAGGTGACTTTGTTTCTTCAGTAGAACACAAACGAAGATTTTTAACTCAAACCGTTGCAGTCAGTCAGTCTTATAATGGAGGTGGATGGGAATCACGGCTTTGAGAGTCTAAAAACATACACAAACAAAACCAAATTAAACCCTGCGGCTCGTGACGATACATTGATGTGTAAAGACACGAAACGATCGGTCTGTGCAAGAAACTGAACAGTATTTATATAATTTTTTTTACATCTGATTTACTGCAATGTCCGAACTGTCCTGAGCACGTTCGTGTCGTCTTCTTGCTTTACGGCGGATCGCAGACTTATAAGTGCACTTGTAATGATACATTGATGTGTAAAGACACAAAACGATCGGTCTGTACAAGAAACTGAACATTATTTATATTGTTTTTTACCTCTGATGCTCTGCAATGTCTGAACTGTTCTGAGCGTGTCCTCGACAGCCGGCTCGTGACGCGTCTTCTTCTTCTTGCTTTACGGCGGATCGCAGACTTATAAGTGCATTGCTGCCACCTATCTCTCAAATGGACCATGACACTCCTAATTGAGATTGTAGATGGGCCCTGTCCCAAATGGCACCCCAAACTCTCGCGGTCTTCCTCCGAGTCCGCACTTTCGTGACGTAATGCCGCTTTGACTGCCCCAGTGCGGGCTCAGCAGAAGTGCGGATCGAGGGGCGCATAACGGCCGCAAAGGGGGCACTCGCGAGCACCCTTCTGAATGCTAAAATTATGAATGGGACACCCTACGGTCTCGTGGACTTGACGGACACGCGCATGCGGCGGCCATTGTAAGTCCGTAAGACCGCAAGTGCACATGAAGTGTTCCAATTGGGACAGGGCCATAGAGTGTCAATGATCCATTTGAGAGATAGGTGGCGGTAATACACTTATAAGTCTGCGATCCGCCGTAAAGCAAGAAGAAGAAGACGCGTCACACGCAGGCTGAAGACGACGACGTGAACGTGCTCAGGACAGTTCGGACACTGCAGTAAATCAGAGGTAAAAAAACGATATATAAATACTGTTTCTTGCACAGACATGTGTCTTAACACATCAATGTATCGTCACGAGCCGCAGGGTTTAATTTGGTTTTGTTTGTGT